TCTCTCCAATTTGGTTGTATTTTCTCTTTTACTATCTTCTTTTATCTTATATAGTCTCCAGATCTTTATTTTGGGTTACTTATCATGCAGTTTAATGCCACTTGAGGGTAATAGTCCAGTCATTGGACAATGTGAGAGTAAATTCTATCTTGTGAAAGTTTCTGATTCACTTGTCATGGTGTTAAGTGGGACCTCACTTAGCACATTAACAAAACTGATGTATTCTTTCCCATTTGCAGGACAGTGCATGACCAAACCAGAGTACATCTTTAAGTGGGAGCTTAGATTTGGGCTATGGACCACAGCAGAAGCCTCAATTCAATGCCTCCCAGGTCAATCAGTGCATATGGCAAGAAGAGCGCATCAGATATTGGTTGTGTTGAACTGTTTTTATACCAAAACTGTTCCTATAGATAGCTAGTCCTGTGACTCAGTCATGTGTTTTATGCAGTTTTTGAAGAGGGTTCTCCATGTTAACACATTCCCCAGTTTCTGCTATTGAAGTATATTTTCTGAGATTTTTAAAAATTTCAATCCTATATAACAGTTAGATCCAGTGGTTCTCAACCTGTGGGTTGTGACCCTCTGAGGGTGGAATCACTTAAGGCCATTGGAAAACACAGATACTTACATTACGAATCATAACAGTACAGTTTGAAGTAGCAATGAAAATAATTTTCTGATTGGGTGTAAGCACAATGTGAGGAGCTGTATTAAAGGGTCACAGCATTAGGAAGGTTGAGAACCACTGACTTAGATAGTTTTATTGGTTAGTCACTGTATCTAAATTTTCACTTTTTTAATTTAAGCAGTTGCTATTCTTTTAATACTTGCTTTTATAACTGTGGTGGTGATACTGATGGTAATCACACAGACAACTTTTTCTCTTTTCTTTTTCTTTTTTCTTTTTTCTTTTCTTTTTTTTTCTTTTTTTTTTTTTTTTTTTTTTGAGACAGGGTATCTCTGTGTAACAGCACTAGCTGTTCTGGAACTCACTCTGTAGCCCAGGCTGGTCTGGAACTCATAGAGATCCACCTGCTTCTGTCTCCAGAATGCTGGGATTAAAGGCGTGCGCCTCCATGCCCACAGATGACTCTTAAAGTCCTCTTACATTCATTGTAAGAAAAGTGAATCAAACAGATGAGGATTGTGGTGACATGGAGCTCAGAATATTTACTAGGGGGAGAGAAAAAGTAGGTATGAGGTTTTATTTTAAGAAGAGTGTAAACTGAACTCAGTGTTAAGGAGTTGTTTATTTATTTCTGTTTAAATTGGACATAACTATTTTCCAAATTTGGCACATCATACCTGATTCTTGGATGGTGGTATTTTTTTTTAATTTTATTTTATTCCCGGAGCTGAGGACCAAACCCAGGGCCTTGTGCTTGCTAGGCAAGCGCTGTACCACTGAGCTAAATCCCCAACCTCGGGTGGTAGTATTTTTAATATCATTTTCTGTGTTTATAAAGTGAATGCCAGGGTTGAGACCAGCCATGAAAGTCCAGAAAAAGACTTGTGGCAAATAGGAATCAACAAAGCAGTACATCAAATGAAGACTTGATTTAGGTAAAACATTTATTGTGAGCTCTCCAACCACGGTTCAGATCTGAACACAAAGAATGAAAACTCTTCAGGAGCTGCAGGCTGGAGAAGAGCCAGCTTTTCTCTTTTTTAAACTAGTTGGAATAAAGTAGAGATTGTAAGCATGAGGGTAAAGAGAAAGGAACTTGGGAAGAAAACAAGACAACTGAGAACGTGTGATGGGCATTTCAAAAGAGTGTTGCCAAACCCAGTACTATTATAATTATATAATTTCAGCCCTCTGATGTCCTGACCATCTTGGTCTCCATAACAAGATACAAGATTCATGATGTTACACTCAATATATTTGATGAGGGATATCCATCAAAATCACTGTAATCTTACACATCAAAAGATTTTATATTCAAGATGCCTCTAGTAGATTCAATAAATGCTATAAGTCCTTTTTTTAGGCAGCATTTAATGCCCCAAACATGAAAAATGTAAGGAAGCAAACCATTAAATTTAATGTATTTGGGATAATGTTCTATTAACAGACGAAACTGAAAATGGTAAGTACGTACATGAGAGATATAGTTATTTTGAGAAATCTTTTATTAAGTAGTTATACTTTAGAAAACATTAGGATATATGTACTAGGGAAGGCCTAGTGAGTATAAGGAATATAAGCATTTTTTATGTCTCAAGGCAGAACTAAAAGTTCAACAGAAAATCCTCTAAGGGAGAAAATCCTATGAGCATAAAGCATATGGGAAAAAGTATAACCAGATGTCACAGCTCAACAGGAATCAGAAATCTTACACTTTCTTTCTTCTGAGACAGGGTTTCTCTGTGTAGCCCTGGCTGTCCTGGAACTAGCTCTGTAGACCAGGCTGGCTTGGAACTCACAGAGATCCACCTGCCTCTGCCTCCTGAGTGCTGGGATTAATGGTGTGAAATCTTACACACTTTAAGATCCTTATATACATATAAAATATAGGAAAGCTTTCTCTTGTAAGTCAGCCCTCACTCAACATCAGAAATCTTAGAATAGGGAGAAGCCTATGAATTTACAGATTGTTAGGAAACTATTTGATTTGAAGTCGGTCCTCATCTTTCATCAGAGAACACATATAGGAAGAAGCCTTGTGAATGTAAAGAATGCACGAAAACTGCTAACTTCAAGTCATAACTCACTGTACATTAGAGAATTCACATAGGTTGGAATGCTTAATAATGCAAGAAAGCTCTCTTTTGCAAGTCACAGCTCTGTGCATCAGAAAAATCACACGAGTCATAAACCATATGAATGAAACTTTCTTGAACAAGTCAGATGTCATTTGACTTCAGAGAATTCATACAGGCAAGAAGCCTTATGAATATGAAGAATGTGAAAGCTTTCACCCACAGGTCATGTATCTGTACATCATGGACTGCACATAAGTGAGAAACTCTGAATATAAAAGATGAAGGGAAGCTTTCTCTGTAAGTCAGAACTCATGCATCAGATAATTCATAAGGTGAGAACTCTCTTGGATATAAAGGGTGCAGGAGATATTTCTCTTGGGTCAAAACTATATCAGAGGACTCATATAGCTGAGAAACCCTGGGAATGCAAGGAATGCAGGGAGAGATTCTACCAGAAGACAAGCTTCACCCTACACCAGAGAATATGTACAGGGGAGAAATCCTTTACTGTAAGGAGTAAGAAAAGCTTTCTTCTCAGTCAAAATTCACTGTATATCAGAGAACACAGATGCCCTTTGAATGTAAATAATGCAGGAAAGCTTTCTTTTGCAAGTCACAACTTATTGGACATCAGAGATCCCAGACAGGTGAGAAGTCTAATGAATATGAAGAATTTAGGGAAGCCTTCTACAGCAAGTCACAACTCATAGTTCTTCAGAGAGCTCATATTGGTTAGAGATCGTATGAAGACAGAATGCAGAAGGCATCCAACTCAGGCCAGGTCCAGTGTCTCTTTGTTCCTGCTGCCTGCAAATCCAGATGTAGAACTCTTAGTTACTGTGTCTGCCTGCATGCTACCGTCCTCCCAAACATGATGGGAATGGACTAAACCTCGGAAACCATAAGCAAGCCCAAATTTAATGCTTTTATAAGAGTTGTGTTGGTCATGGTGTTTCATCACAGCAATAGTAACCCTGACTAAGACACCACTCAAGCAAAGAGTACAAAAATATTTAATAACATGAAAAGGAACATGCAAGAATTGTCAGATAACATGAAAATGCCCTATTTTCAAATTATAGGCATAGATGAAAGAGAAGAATCCCAGGACAATGGCATAGACCAGATCTTCAACAGGATCATACAAGAAAACTTGGCCAAATTAAGGAAAAACACATTCATACAGATTCAAGAAGCACACAGACCACCAAATAGACAAGACCAGAAAAGTAGCTCCCTATGGCATATTACATTTCAGACATTAAGCATACAGCACAAGAGAGGGTACTGAAAGCAGCCAGAGAAAAATTACAAGTCATATATAAAGAAAGATCCACCGGAAAAACAGGTGGTTTCTAAATAGAAGATTTAAAAGCCAGAAAGAAAATCCTGGAATAGTGCGCTTCAGTTCTTATGGATCATGAATGCTAACCTCCATTACTCTATGCAGCAAAACCATGTACCATAGTTGAAGAGGAGAAAACTCTGTGATATAAACGGGCTAACGGGATTCATCTCCACAAAACTTGTCCTTGCATAGAACACTGGAAGCAAGACTTCACACTGGAGAGAGGAGTAAGCCGAGCCAGGGACCATAGAAAGAAAACCCACAAAGCTATAGTGACTGAAGAACAGCGTGGGACTCACAACACAAATAGAAAGAGCGACAACAAAAATGTGTAAAAACCCAGCATGACAGCAATCAACGTACTATAGAATAATAGCATTAAATATTAGTGACCTCTGCTCCTCAGTCAAAACACACAGGTTAGCGCTGGAGAGATGGCTCAGAGGTTAAGAGCACTGGCCATTCTTCCAGAGGTTCTGAGTTCAATTCCCAGTAACCACATGGTGGCTCACAACCATCTGTAATGGGATCTGGTGCCCTCTTCTGGCCCGCAGGCATACATGCAGGCAGAACATTGTATACATAATAAATAAATAAATAAATAAATAAATAAATAAATAAATAAATAAATAAACAAACAAACAAACAAACAAACAAACAAACATGCAGGCAGAACATTGTATGCATAATAAATAAATAAACAAATAAACAAACAAATAAATAAATCTTTAAAAAAGAAACAAAAAATCCAAAAACACAGAAACAAACTGCCTAGTGGTGGTGGTGGCGGCGGCGGCGGCAGCAGCAGCAGCAGCAGCAGCAGCAGCAGCAGCAGCAGCAGCGCCGCACACCTTTAATCCCAGTCCCCGGGAGGCAGAGGCAGGTGGATCTCTGTGAGTTCAAGGCCAGCCTGGTCTACAGAGCGAGATCCAGGACAGGCACCAAAACTACATGGAGAAATCTTGTCTTGAAAAAAAATCAATCAATAAATAAATAAATAAAAAAGAAACAAACTGTTTGTTGGTCTGTTGTCTACAACAAATTCATCTTACCTCCAAAGATAGTATTGGTAAAAGTATTCTAAGCAAATATGATCAAGAAGCAAGCAGATGTTGCTCTTCTAATATCTGGCAAATAGACTTTAAACTAAAACAAACCAGAAGATACAAAGTACTCTACATGTCAATCACTGGAACAGTTAACCAAGAAAACATTACAATCTTGAACAGAAATGCACTGAACACTGGCACACCACACACAGTTTCATAAAAGGCATACCACTGAACTTAAAGATTAACTCCATTCAGAACAGCACTTTCTCCAGCAGACAGGGCATCTGCACAAAAAATAAACAGAAACATGAGAATTAAGTGACAGCATACATCATATGAACCACTCAAGCACCAAAGAGTAGACATGTACTCAGCAGCACATGGAAGCTTCTCTAAAATAGACCACAGTGCAAACTGACACATCCTTGAACTGGAAACAGTGATGAGAAGTCCTCTACAAAAGAGAAGCCCAGGTCCATATGGGTTCACAGCAGAATTCTACCAGACTTCCAAGGAAGATCCATAGCCAGTCTTTCTTAAATTAGTCTTCAAAAGAAGAAAGAAAAGAAATGGAAGAAGCATTACCAAATACCTTCTAGAATGCCAGTATTACTCTAATTCCCTAACCAGGTAAAGACACAGCTTCCACGTACTCATTGTACTGTAACTGGACAACTCCCAACCATGATATATGATGTCAAACAGAGCAGTTTAATTAGAATGGGTAGAGTCTGACCAGCATGAAAACTCTGAGCAGCAGTTCACATCTGTTTCACTAAAGAGAAACCCACGAGAAATGTTACTCCAGCAGTTTCTGTCATCTGTACTTCATACCTCTTCAATTTTTTCATCTTTCCCTTCTCAGCAGAAAAACTCCCCCAAGTTTCCAATCCTGGAGCAATGATAAAGCCTTGAGCATGGGCACAGTGTGCAAGGTACAATGGAGGGTAGGAGGTGGGGTGGACATGTGTGGAGACTAGGAGGTGGGTGGACGTGTGTTGGAGGGGGGGTAGAAGTGTCTTGGAGCCGGGCGGTGGTGGCGCACGCCTTTAATCCCAGCACTCGGGAGGCAGAGGCAGGCGGATCTCTGTGAGTTCGCGGCCAGCCTGGGCT